TTTTTTAATGAACAAACTCTTAGCACAATCTGAGGTACATGTACTAAACCTTGGCTTGCAATTAAAGAAATGTCCTGTCAACCTTTTCTCACTTGACCCTTGTGATTGGTCATTGTTGTCATTCAAAGAACACATTTGGTGGGGTGATTAAAATATTGTGTGGACAATGTGATGTCAGAATTTTTTCCTTGTAACTCAGTCAATACTTTACTTGGTGATGCAGTCTGTTTCAGAGATCTGACACACTGTGAGTCTTAATTTGTTTTTAGATTTTTTATTGACAACAGGTGGGATCTTACCTCAACTGGAATCCCACTATATACCTGGAAGTGGGATCCCACTTTGAACTGGGATCCCCCAACTGGGATCCCACTTTATGCTTGCAACTGGGATCCCACCTCAACTGGGATCCAACTACAATCTCACCTGGAAATGGGATCCCACTTCCATTCCACTGGGATGGCAGTATCCCAGTGGAACAGACGTATCCCACCAGGATCGCACTGGGATCCGACTTTCATCCCAGTCACTCTTTTATGGGGATACCCTTTTGTATTTCATCTTGTGCTGCTGAGACAGTGATCCAAAGGTGCATATGAAATTGAAGGTTCAAATACTTTGTATGACAGACTGATAAAACAAGTATAAAATACTACTGTCAACCTTAAATTGCCTCAGTATTCTCAGAAAGTACATACACTGACTTGCTTTACCACATGCAGTTTGTGAATTTTTGTTCCAATTCATTTTGTTGTCAACTATTGTGCCGATATACTTATACTCATTAACTTGTTCAGCGGCTTGATCATGAATGAACACAGGAGCATGAGCTTCTGTTCCACAACAAAAATCCACAATCATTTCTTTTGTTTTCTTCATATTTATAAATAAATAATGACAGTCACACCAATCGGTGAACTTTTCCACCTTAGCCGTGTAGGATGCACACTCACTGGCCAAGTATTCAGTTATAACTGTGTCATCAGCATACTTGATAATGCTGCATACTGAACTGGAACACAAACAATCACTAGTATATATTGAAAACAACACAGGAGATATGACGCACCCCTGTGGTGCCCCAGTGTTAACCGTTCTAACTTTAGAACAAGAACTGCCCACTTGTGCCCACTGTGGCCTTTCCCTAAGGTACTGATGAACCCATTGGGTAACTTTGTGGGAGACGTTCATCTGAAGCAATTTATGAACCAAAATATACAGTTGTATTTTGCTAAATGTGTGGAGGCTGCCTTCTTGTGGGGGAGGGAGACAGTGTGGTGATATGTCACTGGATGGACCACGGGTGTGGGGGGGGTACTGTCAGGTTGAGTGTAGGGTGGGGGTTTGCAGGTTGTACTGGGCTGGGACTTCCGATCCAGGGCAAAGATGAGGGAGGCACACAGGTTCAAGGTAAGGAGCCAGACAATCCTGTATCACTGTAAGTCGGGCACACTGGCTTTAATGGTCTGGGCCCGGTGGGCCACCTGTAAAATTTGGGCAGGCAGTCTGAATTAGGCTCTTAATACAAAATGACACATGGTTGTATGCATGACAATAAAAAGGCAAGCTTTAACTCAAAGAAATGCCCTGTCGTTAATTAATACATGTAATGTCTTATTAAAATACTGTAAAGGTGATGGGAGGGGGCGGCTGTGTGGGACTCCGAGGGTGGAAGCACAAATACACAGACTGACCCCACGCACTGGCCAACCAAGCACTCAGCCACACGCATCACACACACCCGCAACCATCCCCAAATATCCTGCACAGCGAGCATCCACAATAAACACAAAAGTCCCAAGTCCAAACAGTCCATAGCACATACATGTATATTCCACAGCCTAGCGAAAATGTGAAGTCTTTTCTTCACAAAATTTCAACAACTATGTCCAAAAATTATGCACCGTCCACGCACAAAAGCCACACGGCTTCACAACGTTGATGACAAAGTCATAGAATTTGTGATTTCGAGACACAACTCCCTTATTTCTATGGCTAAAATATCAAATTATCCTTCTCCGAATGCATGACAAATTAACACCATTAATATCTATAATAAAATGCGGATATTCTACAATGGACTGATAACAAGGAAAATTAGTAAAACTCTACAGAAATAAAGTGAGCAATAAGGGCTAAAAATTCTGACAAGGTTACCAGTAAAATTCGGGCAAGCAGTGCTGAATGCCTGCACTAAATGGCAAATACCAATTCCAGCGTACAGTTTGTGTCAAATAAAAAGCAACAACAAAATCCGCAAAACGTTTGCATGGGCCAGACAATTCACAAATATTAATAATTATACAATCCTAATAATTAATACATAAATTTGCTACTAAAGGACCCTAGAAAATATTGCCGACCAAAAAGATTATTAACGAACTCCATGAATGGAAATGCATTCTGGTAATTCATTTGTTTTGTGCAAAGACTCCAATTAGGTAAGCACCACACAGGGAAGTACAGGACTAGAACTTGGCTAAAATAAGACGGATATACCAACAAGACAACGGAAAGGAAAGACGCATGTAAGGAGTTGGTGGCCATTACAAATGCACTAGAGAAATCGATGAACAAAGACCTCACATAAGATTTAGGAGTGTCTAAGTAACTGAAGAGTCAACATAGCGTCATCAACCCCCCATTGCTCATGTATGCCAACTGAAATTGGTCCATTAATGAACCTGCTTGACCTAATAAGTATTTCATAACTAGTCTCTCCATATATTTCATGATGGAGGAAGTAAGAGCAACTGGATGGTAGTCATTCACAACTGTCGCATGATTTATTTTTTTCACGGGAACTATGACTGAAGTTTTCCATACTCGAGGAATAATGCTTCATCCAAAGACATTTGGAAAATCTGTCTGAAAATACCTGCAAGTTGATGGCTACAGAATTTCAAAACTTTGTTACGAATACCATCTGGCCCAGGGGCTTTATTCAACTGAAGACGAGAAAAAACATTCCTGAGATCAAGTTCACTAATAACAACATCGTCAAAAACAGAACCAGCCCTAAGTGTCTCTTGCAGAACAGCATTCTCTTGGGTAAAATCATGACTGTTAAACCTGCAGTAAAAGTTATTCAGTTCATTCAGGAGGTCTTTGTTGCATTCAACCTGTTGTTTTCGTGGTCTGTATCCAGTTATTGTTTGTATTGCCTGCCATACAGCACATGGTTTGTTTTGCTGAAAATTTAGTTCTAGACGCTTCTTATAATTATGCTTAATTGCAGTGTTTGATTTCATGATTTATCTCCTGTATTTCCTTCACTTGATCTGAGTGCCCATCTGCAAAGCATTACTATTTCTCAGATCTTTAGCAGTGATTTTAGATCACAGGAAATCCATGGCTTATCGTTAGGGTATACACGCTTTGTGATGGACGGTAAGACCAGGTCCACACAGAACTTGATGTAATCAATGATCACTGTAACAATTGAATCATTTGAGTCAGCACTCTTTACCACAAAAGCTCCCACTGGCAGTTAGTGCACTCAAAACAACCACTAATTTCTCAACAGATTCACTGGACCACATCTGGCACACTTTGGTATTATCTTGGACCTTTCCAGCAGTTGCTTGTAGGACGGACACAAGAGGATATTGTTGTGGTCAGAGTGACCCAGCTGTAGACAAAGCTTCGCTTTGTATGCAGATGGAACATTTCCATAACAAAGATCTAAGGCAGCCCCGTCCCTCGATGGTATATTGACATACTGGCTATAAGATGGCAAAACCTGATCGAGTTTACACTGATTTAAGTCCCCCAATACAAACTTTGCAGAATCTGAAGAAACTGTTTCAAGCTGCTGAATTCGGGACGAGATTGCTTCGCTTGCAACTTTTGTGTTGGCTCTAGGGTGAATGTAGACTACTGTTATAAAAATCTGGGTGAATTCTCTTGGGAGATAGTAGGGCCGTAGGCCGACTGTTGTCAGCTAGTAATCAGGGCTACATACTTTCTCTCTCAATGGCCAGTTATTACACCACTTCCTGTTAATGTACATACACACCCCTCCACCGGTCATCTTTCCAGAATCAAGAGTTCTATCCCCCTGGAAAATCTCACAGTTAGGCTCATTATTACACAATTGTGAACCCTAGTATATGTATATGGACTCGACAATAAAATGGATTGATGAAAGAGTAATCAACAAGCTTATGTGGTGATGTATGCTCCAGAAATTACACAGGGGTCCCAAGGTGATAAATGATACCAGTTATGAGATATAGCATACAAGTAATGACAGAGGGTACAAGTTATGAGGGAAACGGATACTGATTATGAGATACAAACAAGGGAATGTGTAAAAAATCAGCAAAAAGGGCAATATGCAAAATGCTGTCTTTTTAGAGTTCACCTGTGTAATTCAAAGTCATGTAATAGTCGTCAAGTTTGAACATAAAACACTTGTTGCGCTCTGCATACTAATCACATGGCCAAATTGTCTGCAGAACTTTCACAACACGGTGAACAGAATCACTTCAAATGACAAGTTTTTGACCTGAGTTGGAGTCTTCACTTGGCCCACTTGTACTATGAGCTTAATTTGTTAATGCAAACAGGCTAAAACTGTGCATAACAATGAATGATAAAAGCTGCTAAAAGTTCAGGACAAAAGTAACCTTGTGTTCTGACAGAACAAACTTGAGTCCTGCTAGAGAGAGGCAGATCGTCACATACGCCATGGCAAAATACATACCGTAAGCACACAAGAGTACGCTCATGTCTGACATAATGATCTTCAGCCCGTTATATCAGACAAATGTTAATGAGAATACAGTTAAATTATGATTACAACAATGGATAACTGCTGGAGCAACTTTACAAAGAATATACAACAATTTATAACATCGAGTAGGAAAACTCAAAGTTCGTGACAACATTTATAATGTTTTTTGTGTGAATGTGTTTCTTTTTATTTTTTTTTTTTGGACAGCTGTAGTTATGCACCAATACTAATGCCTCCCTATTTTTGTATGATTTATTTTTAGATCATTCGGTGTTAACTATGTTGGCACAAACTATGGTCTGTTGTTCACATCTCAAGCCATTACTGGTCCAGTGGGTGTGTTGCTGTCAAGTACATTGAGTGATATTATTGGTTGGTTTGGCATGTTTACAATGATTGCTGCCTTCGCCTTTTTTGGTAAGTAGATTCTTGGTAATTCCTATGTTTGCCAAGCAGATCCTTCTGTACTGTAAAAATGAAACAACATTTTGTATGGGTTATTTATTGTAGATTCAAGCAAAAATCAAAATCTGCAAACTCAAAGTCTACACAGATCCAACATTAATCTGGAGGTCTGTGCCCGTTTAAGAACAGAATGTAGGGGTTAGCTGCATCTGTACAATTTTGAGAAAAATATTGCTATACTTGCATGGTGCATGTGGTACAAACATGTAGAGTAAACAATGTACAAAGTTTATTGGGTTGCACAAAAAGTAATTAGTCAACACATTCAGAGGATGACATCATCATGGCATTACTACACGGACACATGATTTATGAGCCTCTACTTAGTATTCAAAGTGTCAAAGTGGATTTGACAGCACTTCACACATACAATCAAGAGTTAAGGTTCTTACCTACCTAGTAAATTTCATGGTGATTGGACCTTGTTTAGCAGTGAATCAAACCTCGTACTTTAAAAAGAAAAGAAAAAAAAGTTAGTTGAATCTTGCCTTAGTTTATTTGCCATAAAAATATTAAGGGTTGATAATTCTTTTAAAAAATAAAGGAGAATTCAGGTCTTGCACACCACTGTGCACAGCGGTTGTCACAATGGGAAACTGGCAAACATTAATGTCTATATTGAACGATATTAAAGCACCCATGAGGCATCCATGGGGAGGGCAATGAACCTCATGTTGTGATAGTAAATTTTGTGGAAACACACTCGCTTCAAGTATGAATGTTAAAGCCTCAAAATAAATTCATGAGCATGCATGGCAAATGAAGTAGCAGAAATCTTCTTTCTCAATGCCGTATTGTTGTAATGCTGTTTGGCGGGTCACATGCGTAGACTGCATGCACAGTTGTTGCATTTCCACCATGCCTTCTTTGGCAAGTTTAGTGGGCAACAGGAACCAGTATAGCTTCACTTCATTGAGCATTGTTTTCATCACTGCAACAGTGAATCACGAAGGGAATGTATAAAAACAATGGAAGCTTCTTCTAAAAATTAGTGAATGTACAGAGCTAACTGAATAAATGTGAGCATTTCTGGTGTAAACAGGTTAAGAAGCATTTTGTGCAGATAAAAGAGACAACTGGATTTTTTCTTTTTACTATTTGAACTAAACCACTAACAATTTTAGGGTCATGCCTTAGAATGTAACTGGCTGGAAGTAGAACAACGAACCTGTTGGCAAAAGAAATGAAATTAGACTTCTGACGTAAAATGGAAGTGTAACCACTGGATGTACATATATCATAACATCGTGAAGAGCAGGGAGTGTTTTGCTTTCTTTGAAACCTGTGGTATAAGTGCTGTCTTATCTTTAAAGTGAGCACCTACCAACTGTGATTAATTTGTAAGAAAAAAAGTTGAGCTGAATTTTCACAACATGTTTACTTATTTACATGTACATTTACATTTGAGATATTATCTAGCACAAATGATAAAACCAAATAGATTCTCCAATGACATGCAACAAATTCTGTGACGTGTGAGCAATAAAACACACTCGACACACACCAGAATGCGGTGGTCATTTGGACTTTAATAGAGTGCAAATTGTATGGCGCAAGGAAAAAACCCAATCCTTCCCAGGAGTGCTTTAACACACACACGCACCAAGGTTAACTGGACCCTGTGCTGCCAGCTCACTTGATGTTCCACAGCTGTGTCCCTGTAGCTTTATGTCTGTCCAAAAAGTCTGCCTGAGACTTGGCTTGGGCGGTATTTCGGTATTACCGAATACCACGTTTTTTAATACGGAACAATACCGACTAACAATCCATGAATACCGGAATACCGACTAATTCGGTATTGAATTTCAATACCGTGGTATTCTGGCTAATTTGTTCAGAAGGTTCCCACAACCCTCATAAGGTGAAAGCAGACAATTATTTCCACAACAAGTGACTGCATACTTTGTGGTTGAAGTCACCCAGCATCTTGTTTGTATTGTCTCTTTTGGTGAGGAGATAAGACGTAACGTGATACTTCAGCGTGCAGACATCAACCTGCCTGTCAAAAGGTTTTGTTTCCCTATTGCTGCCGTCCAGTTTGCGGTTTTGGAATAGCTTGTAGGCAGTGCTTCTTGTATACTCACGGGCACATGGAAACATGTACATGTATCACAGCCCTACAGGTTGGGAATTAAAAATCAGGTGGTCTTCCGTGTCCACACTGGACTTTATTTTCCGAAGATTTTATTGGCGGATCAGAAAATGTGAATGCTGCTTGTGTTAGCCTTGTGCTCTCTTAGGGTCTTTTTGTCCTTTATGTACAAAATGTACAAGTATTGTGTGAAAATCTATTGAACCCGAAGCCAGGAATGTGTGTTATGAACTATAAAATGATTCCATAAATCTGCATCTGTGCAACATCCATTGCAATCAACGATCTTTTTTTATTGTTCTCACATTTGTTCCAACCACATGAAAAGAGAAGCAAAAACCTGATTCCTCACTTTTCACTGCTTGTATTTCAGTTTTTCCGGAATATGAAATTAGGACAATGTGGTTGATCATAAATATCTCCCGGTTATGATTAATCAAATACCTTGAGATGTGTTTAGAATAATAAACTTCGTTGTCATAGGACAACATGTTTAATGTGCATGTGAAATTTAAAAAAGCAAACACATGTGAAAGCATCAATCCAGGGATTTTTAAAAGACTTTCAATCGCAATGGATGACGGCGAAGCTAACAGTAACTAACCTGCATGCACATGTAGGCCTGGATGTACCTGCAAGAATTTGAAGGCTCACCGACTAAAGCCCCCATCCATGGAAGTAGTCTTTCCAACACAAATTGTGCCAAGGAGAGACATTTTTTGTTTAATTTTTTGTCTGTCTGTTGATTTTTGACAAGCTGCATGGCATGATTGATTGATAGTCCGAGTTCACTCGCCCACTGCGGCACGGCCGCCCTCGTGCGAGATGGTCGCTGAAGAAGCATGATTTCATGAACGAATACTGCGATTGGATAGCTGTGTCTTGCCAAATGTACATCATGAAAACACACGGTCTCATTGGCAGGCACGCAAGATATTTTCGCAGCAATATGAATAATTCAGTGTTGGGCGATTAGTTGGCCTCTTGAGATACGAGAATAGTCATGCGAACTTATTTGGGGCATATTTTATCGGAAATGGGATGGGAATTTTTGTTTTGGCGTTTGTGTAATCAATGTAAAATATCATTGATTTTTTAATTGTGCACTATACGTGTCATGATTACAGGAATCTGGTAGATGATGTCTGTATATCGCGTTGTAAGTGTGCGTGATGAGTATGGAGGGGCGGGCAATAAGCCTTGGGTTGCGCGACTGGAAATTTTGTGGAAACACCCTCGCTTGAGTGCAAGCAGTACAACCTCAAATTAAATTCATGAACACAGAAAACACAAACATAGACATGAGATCACTTTTTCTGAATGAACCTGCAGAAAAATTTGTGACGGCAGTGTTTTTCAACTTGCAACTATAGAGTTGCATTCGATGTAGTGGAGCATATGACCCTTTTTTGGCAGAACCTGTACATTGACTGGTTGCCGCATTTCCATCATGCTTTCATTAATGGTTCGGCCCGGCGGGAACCAGTGTGGTGCATCGCGCACATGTTTTCACCACTGCGATTCGCAAACGCTTTATGAACGGGTCGTCAACAATGGTTTTTCAGGTAACGGAGTCACGAAAACCTTTCGTTGTACCAGGAACTATTTCGCTGTAACATATTTCTCCCCATAGAAATGTGCACATTTTCACCGGGACCACAGGTTTGTGCTTATTGTAATCGGAATTTTGTTACAATCGATTTCGTAATAAGAGTCGATTGCCGCGTCGCAGAGTTTTCTGAAAGCCACCTTACCATTGCACACGCGCAGTGTTAGGGCGCAGCTAAGAGGAGCAGCCACTGGTGACCCGCACGTAATCATTACAATAACGCACTGTCTCAGCGAGTACCAACTTGACTGTGGTACATGTGCAGATTTTCACACCTTACAAGTGACCACAGATATGGGAATCGCGGAGCAACGAATCGGTATTTAAAACACCGTCCCTTTTTAAAAAATTCTTTCACATAAATAATTTTTATTTGACATCAAATGGACAGATAAATATTAGAGTTATTAAGTGTAGGGGGTTTTGTAACGTTAAAAAACCCTTTATGCTGGCCCCTAGTGTTGTTTGTAGTTTGCCATTGAATGTCAGCATCGCCGCTGCTTTTTGATGACGTCCTTGTCTTCTCAACGAGTACTCTTTTCATGGATACCGCGGTATCGAAAAAGGCAATACCGCCCAAGCCTAGCTAAGGCCAAGTACATGTATATCAGGGAAACACAGAGAGGTGGCTAAACACCTTGGCTGTGTAGAGGTGATGTTGAGTATTCAGTCGCAGAGACAGAAGTGTATAGCCCCTGCCCCATCCAAGACAGTGCAAAGTTCCAAAAGCCCCAATCCCACCACTAGTGACCCCATCCGGTCACCAAGGCTGTCCCTAGGTCATCGCAAAACTGCTGTTTTGCAGTTTTGGCCTAACCTGGGACCCTGTTGCATTTACAGGCAACGAGGCCTTGTATACGAAATAGGTTCAATGCCCCAAAGGCTGACAGGCTACCTTGTGTTTTATGAATAACCCGGTGATATTGTTAGTCAATCTCTTAATCAAATATACATGTACAAAATGATAATTATATATTAGAACTGAAAGCAAGAATACAGAAAACATATGATAATTCAAAATAATGTATAGTAGGTCTTCATTTCACCCCATGACACCAGAAACGTGTTTGTGTTTTAATTCATTTTTAGGAATAGCTGTTTAGTTCCAATTGGGTTCCACAAAGAGATTTTTGTTCTTTTTTACAGAGATCACATTCTCTGGATATGACGACTTGTTAAAATGAAAATGTGACAATTCTGGCCTGTATTGGCTTTATGTGTATGTCTAGCAAAAATGGCTCATGGCCACGT